GGGAGCTTCCTTCTGGGTGCTGGGACCAGCTGAGCTTCACTGCCCTAGGAGCCTGGGATGGAGGCAGGGAGCTTCCTTCTGGGTCTACTCTTACTTTAATATTGATTCAATGAGTGTCACAGGGTCATCCCTAAGCTTCATGCTTATCTACATCAATGCTGTATGTTCCAGATAAAGTATTCCTTTCTTTTAAAAAAATTGTTATAATGGTTAATGTTATATGTCAGCTTACCAGGACTAAGGAATGTCCAGATAGCTTGTAAAACACTATTATTGGGTATGCCTATGATGAGATTAGCATTAGATTGGAAGACTGAATAAAGAAGATTGCCCTCACAGATGCAGATGAACATCATCCCATCTGGTGAAGGCCTAAATAGAACAAGAAGGTAGAGGAAAGGAAAACTTTCTCTGTCTCTGCTTAAACTGGGACATACATCTTCTCCTGCCCTTGGATATAGGTGGTTCTCAGGTCTTTGGACGTGGATGGAGATTTATAATCTTGTCCCTAGGTTGTCAGACTTTTGTGTTTGGCCTGGAAGTATACCATTGATTTCCCAGATCTCCAATGTACAGACCGCAGATCCTGGTCTTCTCAGCCTCCACGACTGAATAGGTCAATCTCATAATACATTTCTTCCTATGTATCTATATATGTTGCTGGTTCTGTGTCTTAGTCACTTTCCTGTTGCTGGGCAAAATACCCAAAACCCACAATTTAAAGGGGAGAGGTTTATTTTGCTCATAGTCTCCAGCAGATTCAGTCCAAAGCTGGCTTACTCCTAAGCACAAGCAGCATTCCAGAAGGGAATGCCAGAAGAAAGCTGTTCAGCTCATAGCAACCAGGAAGTAGAGAGAGAAGGGAGGAAATGGGGACAAGAACATGCCCTTCCAACCGCCTCCAGCATAGAGGAGGTGAGGGGCCCCCACCTCCATCAAAATGAGAAGACATGCAAACAAGTCTCAAAACCAGACTTCCAGATCACCTACAGCAACCCCGAAGGGAAACGAGATGGAACACTCTGATACTCAACCACCTGGACACTCTGAACTGGTAACAAAAGAGGATCTGGAAAAAATGAAATCAGAAATAATTGGTCAGATAACAGCAAAGATTGTGCCCATA